TAGACTACACACAACACTGTAGGTGACACGCCACGCGGTGTGTAGACTACACACAACACTGTAGGTGACACGCCACGCGGTGTGTAGACTACACACAACACTGTAGGTGACACGCCACGCGGTGTGTAGACTACACACAACACTGTAGGTGACACGCCACGCGGTGTGTAGACTACACACAACACTGTAGGTGACACACCACGCGGTGTGTAAACTACACACACCACTGTAGGTGACACGCCACGCGGTGTGTAGACTACACACAACACTGTAGGTGACACGCCACGCGGTGTGTAGACTACACACAACACTGTAGGTGACACGCCACGCGGTGTGTAGACTACACACAACACTGTAGGTGACACACCGCGCGGTGTGTAGACTACACACAACACTGTAGGTGACACACCACGCGGTGTGTAAACTACACACACCACTGTAGGTGACACGCCACGCGGTGTGTAGACTACACACAACACTGTAGGTGACACGCCACGCGGTGTGTAGACTACACACAACACTGTAGGTGACACGCCACGCGGTGTGTAGACTACACACAACACTGTAGGTGACACACCGCGCGGTGTGTAGACTACACACCCCGCTGTAGGCGACACGCCACGCGGTGTGTCGACTACACACACCACTGTAGGTGACACACCGCGCGGTGTGTAGACTACACACACCACTGTAGGTGACACACCGCGCGGTGTGTAGACTACACACCCCGCTGTAGGCGACACGCCACGCGGTGTGTCGACTACACACCCCGCTGTAGGTGACACACCGCGCGGTGTGTAGACTACACACCCCGTTGTAGGTGACACACCGCGCGGTGTGTAGACTACACACCCCGCTGTAGGCGACACGCCACGCGGTGTGTCGACTACACACCCCACTGTAGGCGACACGCCACGCGGTGTGTAGACTACACACCCCGTTGTAGGTGACACACCGCGCGGTGTGTAGACTACACACCCCGCTGTAGGCGACACGCCACGCGGTGTGTCGACTACACACCCCGCTGTAGGTGACACACCGCGCGGTGTGTAGACTACACACCCCGCTGTAGGCGACACGCCACGCGGTGTGTAGACTACACACCCCGCTGTAGGCGACACGCCACAGGCTGTAAACACCACGCACGCTGTTACACGCCCTCACCCCCACGCTGTACAACACCCCAATGCTGTTTGCTACACCAGGTTACGTGGGGGGGGGGGGGGGGCTCCACGCACACCGCCCTCGAATAACCCCGGCGGGGTGGGCTGGACGGGGCGGTGGAGACGCACGAGGTCGGGGTAGGGGGGTAGGGGGGGGGTCTAGGGGTGTGTAGGGGTAGGGGGCTCTAGAGGTAGGGGGGTGTAGGGGTAGGGGTGTAGGGGGGGTCTGGGTCTAGGGGGTGTATGGGGGTAGGGGGGGGTCTAGGTGTGGGGGGTGTATGGGGGTAGGGGGTGTAGGGGTGTAGGGGTAGGGGTGTAGGGGGGGTCTGGGTCTAGGGGTAGGGGGTGTATGGGGGTAGGGGGGGTCTAGGTGTGGGGGGTGTATGGGGGTAGGGGGGGTCTAGGTGTAGGGGGTGTATGGGGGTAGGGGGGTCTAGGTGTGGGGGGTGTATGGGTGTAGGGTGTAGGGGGTGTATGGGGGTAGGGGGGGGTCTAGGTGTAGGGGGTGTATGGGGGTAGGGGGGGGTCTAGGTGTGGGGGGTGTATGGGGGTAGGGGGGGTCTAGGTGTAGGGGGTGTATGGGGGTAGGGGGGGTCTAGGTGTAGGGTGTATGGGGGGTCTAGGTGTAGGGGGTGTATGGGGGGTCGTGAGCGGCAACGTCGCGGGGCTCGGCACGCGGTGACCGCCGCCTCGCGAGAGAATGTTGGTGCGGGGATCGTCCATTGAGTCGTTCCGCACGAAAATTCGTCAAAACTTGACCCCTCCCGCCCGTCTCTCCCTGTCCGCACGCGAACTTTTTACCCCCCCCCCCACCATCTGCGTACGTATGCTTGACGCACCCCCCCCCCCCACCACCAAATCCTATAGAATGGCCGATATTTAATCCACGCAGAAACGATTAAGGATTAATAATATTAACGCGTTAAGCTAACAGTCCACCGCCGGCTGCATCATTATTATCGAGGCTTCACCCCCCCCCCCCCCCCGATTGCTATGCGCACATTGTCAGTAGACCCCCCCACCATACACAAGCTACGCATTTGTGTTAACCCCCCTACCCCCTACTCCCTACCCCCTGCGTACTCAATGGATGGCCCCTTTATCGACCGCGATCAACGAGTTGTCGCGAGCGAGTGGGCGAGCGTTGGAGCCTCGTGTTGTTGTTGTGATGGTGGTGATGGTGGTTGCAGCAACAACATCGTCAGCATGCCTCTCTACTCGTGCTACGCAGGACCACAATCGCGCGAGACGCCTCCACCACCTCCACCACCATCACCTCCACCACCACCACCATCACCACCACCATCACCTCCACCACCACCATCACCTCCACCACCACCATCACCACCACCATCACCACCACCATCATCACCTCCACCATCACCTCCACCACCACCATCACCACCATCATCACCACCACCATCACCATCATCACCTCCACCATCACCTCCACCACCACCATCATCACCTCCACCACCATCACCCACGATGAATTAACACGGGGACTCTGACAAGTGCTGTTAGCGGAGCACGCATGAACGCCAACACGGCATACGGGGAGCGAGGTGGGTGGGTGGTGGATCGACAGAACCACGCCCGGCCGCCTTTGTCTCTCCCCTAACCACCCCACGGGTCGATTTAGGGAAGTTGGCCCTGGAGCAGCGTTCGCCACTGATGTAGGTTGCGAGTTTGGGGACTCGAACGTCGGTCTGGTGTCGCAGTGCGCTAATCGCAGCACGCTGCCGCTACCCACAATGGCATGTCGCCTTTAACAGATTGTTACAGCAGCGATGTTAGCCGGTAGCACCTGTGACGGCCGTCACGGGCACACGAGGGGTGGGTGGCCAGCGCCACGCCCGACCGCCTTTGTCTCACCCAGTGGCGATGTTTACTGCACACCCCGCACCCAAGGTACTCATTTGAGGCTGAGTCGACCTAGGGGAGGCCCCGGACCGTTTCAGACAATCGTCACCGGCGTTGTCGGTGTTTTTGTTTTCCCGAAGCGCATCGCCGAAACTGCTGCGCGACCGCTCCCCAGAACGGTAAACAAAGATCCCCCGTGTAGCCTTCACACATTGCGTGGGGCAAGTGCTGCTAGCGAGTAGCACCTATGAAGGCCGGCACGGCACACGAGGGGGGTGGGTGGTCAACACCACGCCCGGCCGCCTTTGTCTCCCGAGTGCCAACGATGTTTACACACCGCACCGGGTACTCATTTGAGGCTGAGTCGACCTAGGGAACGCCCTGTACCGGTTCAGATAATCGTCACTGGCGTTGACCGTGAGCGTGAATCCGAACCCGGGTCGCCAGGTTCGTAGCGCAGCGCGCTAACCACTACACCACCGCTCCCCGTACAACAGTAAACACACGCGCACCGCGCACCACACATGGAGCGTGGTGGTGGTGGTGTGTACAGCAGAGAGTGCACACACCACACACCACACATGGAGCGTGGTGGTGGTGTGTACAGCAGAGAGCGCACGAACCACGCACCACACACCACGGATGGAGTGTGGTGGTGGTGGTGGTGTGCACAGCAGAGAGCGCACGCACCACGCACCACACATGGAGCGTGGTGGTGGTGTGTACAGCAGAGAGCGCACGAACCACGCACCACACACCACGGATGGAGTGTGGTGGTGGTGGTGTGTACAGCAGAGAGCGCACGCACCACGCACCACACACCACGGATGGAGTGTGGTGGTGGTGGTGTGTACAGCAGAGAGCGCACGCACCACACACCCCACGCACCACGGATTGGCGGTTAGCGAACGCCACCACCCCCTTTGTGCTGCTGCGGGACGTGTGGCCACTATGTGCGGTCTGCACCGCCGTGCCCGATCCTTCTAGAACATTCGACTCGGTATTTCCGCTGTCGGCTTTGTATAGAGGGGGGGGGGGGGTTATGTGTGTGTGAGGATGTGTACGTGTAAGCTTGCGCGCCGTGTGCACAAAATATATACATAGCATAACGCGTGCGAGTGTGCGCTTTATCCTCCTATACGCGCGTGTGTGTGTGTGTGTGTGCACGATGCCATGTGTATACCTGTACGGCAGTCCCGTTTGTCAATCCACCGCTGGATGAAGGTCCTGGTCACCTCGTGTGTCGTGCGACGGCTTGCGCGGACCATACTTCACCCACCATACTGCGCCCACGGCCGATGAGTGCATGTTTGTGAGAGGCGTTCAGAGCCTACAAGGATTGCAAGTCCCCCCCGTACTGATGATGTGCGAGCCGTGGACTTCTCCACTGCGCCACCTCCAATCCGCGGCTGTAAATGCACGCGTGCCTTTGCGCGCAGGTGCGCACGATGCATATGGCAGAGCGCGTGCGCGTGTGCCATGGTGATGGGGGAACCGCAAAAAAATAAAACATCGCACGCAATGGCACGGCTGATACGAATACACAACGTTGGGCACCGAAACCCTCTCCGAGAGTAAACCTGTTGGAGCACGGGGCGCACGCCGACGAGAGCCACGTTAACCGCGCAATACGCGCCGTGCCAATAGGCGCTCGCAAACAAAGTGTCGCACCAACGGGGAAGTCATCGCGCCCCGTGGTAACCACTGCGTTTTATTGCGCGCAAATCCCGACCACGTATGCAACAGACCACACGCACGCGCGCGTGTGCACACACATCGTGCGGTGGCGGGGCTATGTCATCGTTTCTACTGGATCGTTCCATTACCCCCACCGCCATCCCATATTCACTTGTTGACGCCGGAGTGAAGCGGGCAGGCAAGGGAGGTGGTGGTGGGGGGACGCTGGGCATGGCTGCAATGCAGGGCAAGGCAGGGCTTGCGGGGGGCTGTGTAGAGGGAGATTGCGGGGAGGAGCTCATCTGGTTCGTACTGGCTGGAGCTGGAACTCGCCTATATAAGTGAGCGTGGCGAGTTAGCATCGCTACGCACTTCCAATCCACTCGGTCCGCATCATACCTCGTGTCCTGTCTACTGCTGCTGCGCTGCACGAGAGCCAACTTCAACGTCAAAGCCCAACCTACGCATCGACAGACATGTCTGGGAAAGGTGATTATCTCTCTTGTTGATGAATTACCGTGGTTGTCACGTAGCTCGGCACCACACGCGCATGTTGCACGTTCGTAGTGAAGCGACGTTGACGAGACGGCGCGTGAATTAGCGGCGCTGTGCAATTGCATTGGGAGCGAGGGGCAACTCCGCGTGCCAATTTCTCGGTTGCAATGAGGGATCCGTGCATCGCGAATAAAAACCGCGCATCCAAAACGATGCACGGTGGGTTTTTTTGTTTGTTAAGATGCGCAGCCGTCTCTGGAGGTCGTCGTCTGGGCTGCCGCGTTTCCTACGGGAGCAATATTTGTTGTGGCGAGAGAGAAATCGGTGAAAAATGCACCGATCATGTAAATTTGCAGATGTCAAAACGTAAATGTGCGTGTGTGTTTAGGTGCTGCCCCGAAGAAGGGAACCGACAAGGCTGCCGCCGTGACGACAAAGGAGCCAGCGAAGGAGGGAGAGAAGAAAAAGGAAGGGGGGAAGAAGGAGGGTACGTGACGCCAATCATTCTCACACGGGGGGACATGCGCTCCGCCAACGCCATTGCAACGCACCTCACGTTTCGCAACATCCCGTTGAGCGGCCAGTCAAATTCAATGTTTGCTGCGTGTTGAAGTCCCTCTGTGTACTGAGCGGCCCGTTAACCCGTGGTTTTTGTGGTGTGCCTGCTGATTTCCCTTTGGCTCATAGGAGGAAAGAAGAAGTGATTTCGCGCTCGGCGCAAAAGGAGAATCCGGCGGGGAGATGAGGAGTTGGATGCGCGCCGTGGTGTATTTTGTTGAGCGCGCCTGTGGATAGTTCTACTACAGTCGAACACGTTCGTGGTTGTATTTGTGCTGTGTAAATATTGAAGGGCTTTGACACCCCAATCATTCCTACTTAACAAGAGATGTACTCTGCGTTGGGTTTGTAATAAAAACAACTGAATGGAATCCCATATTTACGTGTTTTTCTTGGTTTATTCGCGCGGAATATTTTAGTAGGTCAAAGCAACACAATACGACCGGGCCAAGTTGGATTCCTGCCAAGTGGCTCGGTGGGAGAGGAAGCAACTCGCAATCGATAATGAGAGTCCCAAATCCTGTTTGGGGATTTTCCTCATCCCATCATCCCTCTTTCACTCCCCCCGGGTCGATTAAATTGGTACTGTGAGAAGCCAACGATGCCATGGAGAAGACTTCCCCTAACGAGCGTGGCATTTCCACCACTGGCTCGGAGCTGTAAAGATGAGCATTGCCTCGACGCTCATTCGGAGCAGCAAATGGCAATGACCTTAGGGTTAGGTCGTGTATTGCCTTAAGCAAGCAGTGGCAATTCCACATTCCTATGGATGTCAACCCACAGGGGCCATGTATGGCGGTGCGTGGCCGGGCTGGCTGTTAAAAGAGCCATGCAAAAAAAAAAAGCCCCCATACCCGCACATTTTAAAGATGATGCATTGTGTATCCGAGTCTTATTCGAGCGCTGAGGTGGTAAACAAGACCACAACGATGGTTAACGTAGCTGGAACCAATGGGGGGAGGCCATACCCGAGCAATTGTTGTCCCCCCTCCTCCTCCCCTGCACATCAACAACGGCAAGCCGATAGGGGGCGCGCGAATTCCATCCTCGGCGAGAAGGTTCGAGTTAACCGACGACGGACCTCGTTCTACATGCGCCACACGCAGGCGCAGTGAGGTGACGCTCAGTTTCTGAGTTTTTTTAAAAATTGTTACACGGGTTGATGGTTCCCGTTTAACCAATTGCCCGGCAATTTTGCACGGTAGATCCTTGGTGTGTGAGCACAGCAGCAGCAGCAACATCAGTGTAGCAGAGGGTAAGGGTTATTAAGGAACAATTGCACAACGAATAGGTTGTTAGGTTTGGATAATTGCAGAGTGTCTGGCTGTGCCAGGAACCTCAGGATGTTGGGGTTTTCGCAGCCAATGCGAGGCATAATTGACTTTTGGGTGGGGCCACGTATATCATCATTGCGTGCCCCAACACATCCATTGTGACGACATTCACCCGAGTCAACCTTGGAGGGATGAACAGCTGAGTTAAAGCCCCCCCCCCACACACAAAAAAGGGTTGTAAAGCGCTGCCTTCTGATTGGGAGCTGCATGTGACACACAGAGACCATGCCAAACGCCGTGGTGGATGTACCGTGCACCCTATATAACGGGGTAATTTTTTAAATTCATTGGGGGATCCTAAACGAAACAAATCGCACTCCCAAAGCTCAACACGTGAACAGCGTGCACAGAAATAACTTCAGCGTGGGGTAAGGGGCCGTCCATAAATGACGTCACACACATGGGGGGGGGGGGGGGGTCAGACATGTGTGACGATGTGTGACGAGGGGGGGGTGAGAAATGTGACGTCACATCAAAATACGAAACTTTAAATAAATATAGACCACTTTCTACTTAATTAAATAGACTTTTTAATAAATGTTTTCTCCTACATCAGAGTGCAGCGCCACTTTAAATGCGCACTATAATGACAATAGTTTAAAGCGATTTGAAGCATGTTTTTGGGGGGGGGGGGGCAGAGCTTTGTGACGTCATATTTGAGGGGGGGGGGGTCTGACTTTTTGTGACGCCGTGTGACGATGGGGGTCAAAAATCGTCCAAAATCGCGTGACGTCATTTATGGACGGCCCCTAAGCCACTTTCTTGAGCTTTCATTTGGGGCCAGGTCGCTTCTGAAAAACAAGATAATAGCTCAATGGGCCTTACCCGGTAGTATGAGAAAAATCTTGAGTTGTATTCTTTATATTTGTTTAAAAGTGATTTGTTTACCTTTCCTGTTCTCTGCAATCCTGTCACGTGTTTCTATTGTTTGTTGTTGCAACGTTCTGAGCTGCCCCCTACTGGACATCTGTAAAAAAATAGCTTTATAGCTCATTTGATTCCTCCAGTTTAAACAAACATTCTGATTCTGCTGCTGCTGCTGCCACGCACTCCCAGCTGAGTGCCGCACTCATTACCTCGCAACATCGGACTGTGTTCCAGAATTCATGTGTGATTGCCAAGTGGTTCCATGGGTGTTATTTGTCTTTACGTTTTATTTTTCTGGAATGTTGATTTATGAAATGTACACTTTTACAATAAAACAAAAACTATATAAATAACATTGCAAGATGTAAATGGGATCTTCATGGGAATAATGGGGTCTTGTTGAGAAAATGGTCTATTCACAAGACACGTTTATAGCATTTACGCACTAAACAGCTGGATATTAAACGTGTTATTGGTTAATTGCTGTGATATTCATTGAGCAGTTTTGGACGAAACGGTGTTGGGTAGCAATGGGCTTCCTGAAGATGCCCAGTGGAGGTTCAAATGAATTCTCTGGGAAGCAAATTAAAGCAGTTAATTATAAACCAAGAGTGCACACAACCCCCAAGTGTGTCGCATGGCCAACACCGCTACGCCATCTCAAAGTTAAGGCCGTGAGCGCCCAATAAGGTATTTGCGACCTTGTTTCAAACCAAAGCACGTTTTGCTACGTGCGAAATGTGTATGACAAAGAGTCACAGCGATGCTGATAAGGTGGCCATGTACCCTTATTTTTACCGCTGATGTCACAAACACAAACGCAACTGGACATTGACAGTGCTGGGTATGCAACAAAGCCACTGGTATTGGCGGTGAGAGGCAATGGCACGCGTCGTGTATTTCTCGTTTGTGTTGTACAATAACACGGTTTTGTCCGGCTATGAAGTAAACAGACTCAGCAAATATACTACCACGTGCTTTAATGAGTTGATATTTTGTAATGGCAGCACGCGCTGCAAAGGGGAATTTCCCCCCCCCCCCACGCCGTTAAAATAATTTGCTTCAATAAACACTACGCCCTCAAATCAAATGTGGAATGTCCACCATCGTTCGACGCCTGATATAGAGAGCATCTCAAATGCTAATGCCAGCTTTAGAAGCACGGGAACGGTGGAGCTTTCTGGCTCCAGTTCCAGACGGACGACAGACTCCCTTTCGGGTTTTCCGGTCTTCGGTGGTAACGCTCCACAGGGGGATTCATTGAGAAACGAGAAAAAAACAGGGGGGGGGGGGGGGCATTTTTTCCGATAAGACATCATCAGTGTGAGGCCCGCCACACATTTGAGACCATTGGGGGTTTGGACACACAATGATGGTGGGGTGTTGTCACGTGTTGTGTATTGTTGGGAGGGAGCCGAAGCATCCAGATAAAACCCACGCGTGTGTACGAGGGGGGACAACTCTATAAAATACAGATGCCACAGGTGGGGTCCACTGTTTTTCTGTAGGGGTTTCTGTTTGAGCGTGCTTGTAAAGGCAGAATATAGAACAGCATTTGCAAATTCAGCCGCACAATGCGCAAGCCTGACTCTCTTGAAGAGAAGATCGAAGCCGGTTCCAAAGTTGTCTTGTTTGAACGCGTGCTGCTCGATAATGTTCGTCTGGAAAGCCAATAGGCTGATGGGCTAAAACAAATATCATGATTCGCGTTTTGCCAATCAAAGGCTGCATGGAAACGGATAACAAGTTTGTGCATTAACTGGCAGGGTCAAGTTTGTGCATTAACTGTCAGGGTGTGATTTCCACAGCAGGTTTATTATTGATGGCCCATACTGGACACCTGCCAAACATACTGTACGTCTGTGAAAGAAAGAGCTTCATAGCTCATCGGATTCCTCCAATCGGTGAGCTGCCGCTGCTGCCGAGACTTCCCACTGCTCGCTCTCAGCCCCCACCAGGTGGTCTCCTGCCCCCTGGCGATCAGACGCAGACACTGGCGGCCCCCGTGATCTTACAGAGCAGCTCGTTTCTTCACCAAATTGGGGCAGAGTTTTAAAATACTGCAATAGTACTTTCATTGTATAAAGCGTCGTTCGTGTTTATAGCATCACATAACTACGTACAATAATTATACATGAGGACCAAATCCCAAATGCAGCCACTACCAAGCAAATGAAAACCCTTCTACCAAGCAAAACAAAACACGAATACACAAATTAAGAAATAGCACTATACGAAAAAGCACAAACAACAAACGTTACCACAACAAAGACATTAGTCCATTATGTCACATCCCAAACCACGACTTAGTGAATTTCAGTGTTATTTAAACAAGGCCGAGTATATGATGCAACCACTAGTATACTCAAACAGAGACCGCTACGGATTGGGAAGCAGTACATAGAGCTGCGGGGGGGGGGGGGGGGGTCATGTGTGGTGTTGAGTACAGATTAAGTTCTACTTTAGCCGTGTGCAGTATCAGCGGAAACTCCATAATCAAGTCACGTGAATCAGGCTCGTAAATAACTAAACAGCAGCAAATGTAAATTCAAATGATGGCTAAATGGTTTAAACAATACATCGATTTAAATACACCCAGTCACATGAGCAACAGAAGATTTAACGGGTGTTAATTCACCGATATAATGTTTACACTCGAGAGAGAGAGAGAGTACATGCGTTGTAAGTGCAGGAATACCCAGATTTTACGTATCCCCCTTTTACGGCGTTTCGCAATTACGTCGTCCCTTTAGTATTAATACCACCGACTGATTTGCGTTGCCTCAACCCCACACTCACGTCGCTGACAGCATCGTCCGTCCGTCCTTTCTCGCCATCCGTCACTTCTCAGCCTTCGCCTCCACCACCTATCCCGTGTACGTCGCTTTGATTTACGTCGTTTCGATATTCGTCATCGCACATTCCATGAACACGTGTGTGCATGTGCACCACTGAACTTCAAACGACCTTCACCGTGAGACTGTTTTGAAACATCTGTCTCCCCCTGAGCTGCATTCATATTCCCTCTGCCTCAATTGTCTAGCCCTGAACTCGGCCGTTAAGTTCCATGGCCCCATCTCTAAATCAAGAAAACACCCAAAGCATTCAACAACCGATCAGCACGGTTGACTACATACGGTGTGAAAGAAGTTCAACATACAGACAATAACTCTGCCT